TGTATTTATTAAAACACGCAGCTCTTGAATTTATTATTATAAATTAAAATACATGGAGATTAAAGAACACAAGAGCTTGTTAAAATGGACCACTATGGTTCTCATCATCATCATTTGCCGTATCATACAGCACAAACTATCATGTTTTGCCATCTCACACGATCACCAGAATCACAGATCATTTCAATGTTTTTTGTCTGGCCCCATCAGTCTGGCCAGGTCATCCAGGTATTTATCTCTTCGCCTTCCTCTTGCTCTCTTTCCATCAGTCTTGCCAGCTGTTACCAAGTTCTTACATCCATACCTTCTCGTAATATGTTTCTGAGAAACCACATTAGCTTGTCTGCTTATTGTTTATAACACAGGTTCTACGTCCACAACACAGGTTCTACATCCACAACACAGGTTCTATATCCACAACACAATTTCTATGCCCACACCACAGGTTCTACATCCACAACACAGGTTCTACATCCACAAAACAGGTTCTACATCCACAACACAGGTTCTAAATCCACAACACAGGTTCTACGTCCACAACACAGGTTCTACGTCCACAACACAGGTTCTACGTCCACAAAACAGGTTCTACATCCACAACACCACAATAGATGCTCTGCATCCACTCTAACACTCTTTATCTAACTGTAAGTGACATCTTATTATTGGTGAGTGACATCTTCTTACAGGTGAGAATCTTTTGTATTTTGCTAAAGGCTTCATTTGCCATGGCGATTCTTGTTCTTATTTCTTCAAGGTATCTTGCATCTGACATTATGACTGTTCCTAAATAGTTTATCTATTGACTAGCTTCAGAAAGTAACAATGCAACATTATCGATACATCTGGTTTCCTTCAGCTAAAAGATGTCATCTTATGCAGACAGCGTGTTCAGATTCCTAATTGTGCCACATCGACTTTAAGTTGCTGGGGTGGAGAAGTGCATCGAGTGACTTGGTATATTAAGGTTATTGGGATTGGTCTGAAGAAACTTGACACAAAAAAGTGAAACAAAACAAGTTAGTAAGAAGATCGACAGTCTGGCCACTATGTTACCTTGAGTTTTATAAAAGTCGCCATATGTTTCCTAAAAGTTGCCTTGTGTTATCATAACGTCGTCATGTGTTTCCTAAATGTTGCCTTGTGTTTTCTAAACGTTGTCTTGTGTTTTATAAAAGTCGCCATGTTCCATGTATCTGATTCATGAGTGTTAGCTCTCGAAAGACTTGTGTCATGCATTTAATAGTTTAAGGTGCTTCAAAGGAGGGAGATATAGAGGGACGATGTGTCCCAATGACAGTGGACCACTTACTAAGGAACTTCAGTAACCGACTTGCCAAGACTATTGACAGATTTGCCAAGACCAGTGACAGGCTTAAGAAGTATTTTGAGTGATTTGAGGTGTACAAGGGTAAATACATTAAATGAATTTAGGTGTTCACAGGCGAAAAGATATATAGGGACTTGAATAGTACTATGCTAATTCATGACACCAAGAAACACCAGTGAACGTGTGACTTAATGTGTTAAAAATGGAAAATATATTAAGTTTTGTCCAAATAGAGAAAGACATCGCTTACCTAAAATCTCCTAAGAACAGTAACCACCTTACCAAGAAACTTTGGGAAAGGCTTAGCGAGAAAAGCAATTGAAAGCTTTGACATGCAAATTGAGCGACTTTGGATGTTCCAAAGAAGAAAGCATTAAACGACTTAAGGTATTCCAGAGATAGTGGCCGACCTCACCACTAAAAACTTCAGTGAACGTTTACAGGGATCATTGAGCTACTTGAGAATGGTGACTTAGGGTATCCATAAAGAAATAGTCATCCGGTGATTCAATGTTTATCAAGACAGTAAAAGCCTTATGAAAGACATAACCCGCATTAAGGTGTCCCGGGGATAGTGGTTGATTTATTAAGAAACTTTAGCAAATGACCTGCAAAAAGCATTGACCAACTAGAGAAGTACACTGAACACTTACCAAGGAATTTCAGTGAACCACTTACAAAGACCAGTAACCAAGTTGCGAGGTACATTGAGCCACTTATGGTGTCCCTCGGCCTATAAACCCCTACTTTTACTCGTTTACACGCCGACTTGACCCTCTGACTGACACCGGCATATAAAATTGTGTTTCAATACCAGTCAAATTTATTCAACTTTCTAATTTCTTTACATAAAAACTCAAAGCACCATATGCCCTAGGGACTCTAAACCCCACGTCTAGCTGACAACTTGACCCCCTCGCCCCACCCCTTATTGAGTCACCGGTACCTAGCACTGCTCCATGACATCCTCCTTTGTCACAGTTTTTTTCTTCTATGTAAAGTCATAGCAACATATGATGTGACCAATAAAACTCCCCGTTTGACTAGCTGATATGACAACTTAAACCCCCCATAAGCTGAAACCTAACACTATGACACGACACCTGCCCTTATGCCATAAATTTTCATTTTTTTACTACAACTTAAGCCCTTCCTGAGCGGCCGGCATCTAACACTATGATACGACACCTGCAATTTCGCCATATGCTTTTCATTTTTTACGGCAACGTAAACCCTTCCTGAGCAACCGGCCCCTAACAATGTGATATGACACCCACAATTTTGCTATAACTTTTAATTTTTACTCCATATAAGGTCATAGCAGCATATACACAGGAGATCATTACGACATATTTATAGATGACTGCCTATCGTCACCTAGTTGAATACTACGATAACCACAGCTCATCAGCTAACATCAACATTAGACCCTGGCGAGACATGGTCGCCCTCACTTCTTGGCATTGCACCGCCTAATAATGATGCTGTCTGACCACCTCCGAGCTCCGACTGGCACCCTTCTCTTTACACACTTTAATAATTTTTTTGGGGGGCGAACATATATACTTTCTATCCCCCTCAGCAACGCCGATCAATACCGCTATCTTCCTCTATTCTACTATATAACTTATATAAGTCTAGTGTCCGATTGTGTTTTATTACTTTTATATATTTCTGCTATTTAACATTTATATTTTCTGTCCCCCAACAAAACCCAAGCAATATCCAGTTCTCTCTTATACGTACTTTATAACTCATCGCCTTGGCCATCCACTGCATCTAGGTCCATTTCCAATCGCCTCGACATTGTCCAGTCATTGTATCAAGATGAACATAGGCGAGAAAGTGAGGTTGACGAATTGCGCAACTCTTCCCCACTTACATCCGTCCTAACGCAAGCTACTTTGGATTAAAAGAGGTTTTCATCACTGATGGACAAACAACAATACAACCCATGAAACAGCCACAGCCTCACCTGCCTCCTGTCAGCACCGCCTCTGAAAACGTCTCAGATTCTCTGCCCCGCCTTCCTCCCCACCACTCACGGACACATAACCACAACCCCCCCCCCCCCCCTTCCCGCCTTGCCTGACCCTTTACCCCAACTCATGTAACCCGAGTCGCCAACTGATCTAGTGCTGGGATCTTATAATACTAAACCGGAAGTAACCTCTACCCTGGGTTCAGCGATGGAAATTGTTTTTTTTTTTATTAGTCTTTGGTAGCGGTTGTGTAACAAAGGTTACGTTCGAAAATTTTCCCAAAAATGTATGCGTAATTAACCTAACTACTACTCACGCCACGTGTGTGTGGCCAGGCCGTCAAGGTATTTATCTCTTTACTTTTCCCATGACCTCTTTCTATCAGTCTTGTCAGTTGTGCCAAAGTCCTCAAGTCTATTCCTTCCTTTGAAATATACCTTCTGTAATCGAACAAACAGAATTGTTTATATTGTAAGTTTTTTTTAATCATCTCTCTTTCCACACCTTATAACATGCTCTGGTCTGTAACGCGTTGTCCAGTTCAGCTTCATAGATTTTTTTAAAGAGTGTATTTGGTATTAAGCTTTGAGACAGATGTGGCTGCATAAGGTTTTCTAAAGCTTCTCAAGCGCTGTTTTTCCATTTCTGAAGTGAGCTAGAATTCTTTGATGGAATAGTCAAGTGCTTGAGGAAAGATTCGCATGTTGCTGTTACTTTTTATTATTTTTTTTTATTTCATAGAAGATGCTGTCCTGCTTAGAGCGTGAGATGGCTTGGAGAATTGATTTTACGTATATAAAGATGACAGTTTTTTTTTTTTTTTTAGTTAAACTGGAGTATTAGAGTTCAAAGGAAGACAAATACTGCTGCTTCAGTACCCAGACAACTACTGCTGCTTCACTACCCAGACAACCACTGCTGCTTTAGTCCCCATACAACTACTGCTGCTTCAGTACCCAGACAACTACTGCTGCTATAGTACCCACGCAACTACTGCGGCTTAGGACCCAGACAACTACTGCTGATTCAGTACCTAGACAACGACTGCTGCTGCTGTTGTAGTACTACTACCAACACTTCTTCCTCTTTTATTTGTATTTCGCTTTGTTCTCCCCCTCCTCCGGTTTTTTCCTTATCTTCTTCTTCTTCTTCTTCTTCTTCTTCTTCTTCTTCTTCTTCTTCTTCTTCTTCTTCTTCTTCTTCTTCTTCTTCTTCTTCTTCTTCTTCTTCTTCTTCTTCTTCTTCTTCTTCTTCTTCTTTGTCGGATTTGGAAATTCATCATCATCATGTAGCAGGTCTTTTGCAGAACGTCGCTCTCATAACAGTCCGCCTGAAAGAAACTCGGTCTCTCGCCAGTTCTCCTGCCTCATATACTTTCATACTCAAGGAGTCAGTCACTTATATCATGTGCCCATCTTCGTGTCGGTCGGCCCCTGCCCCTCCTTCCTGGTACCATGCCTTCTGCTATAGTTTTTTACAATCCGTTGTGGCGCTTGATATGACCAATATTCCTTGATGTTCAGATCTTTTATGATGTCAATATTTTTCCTCTTCTTTGTCCAAGATATTCTGATTAGGAAATTACCCATTGTTTAATGACGCGGTTGGTTTTGTGTAATCAATGCGCATGCTCCGTTAACGGGAGACGTTTTTATTTAGTTTCATTGTGTAAGCAGTTCCGAGTCAACATGTCAATTTTGCAAGATAAAAAACTAGCAATGAAGAAAAAGACAGACGGTAAAAAGTCTTCAGTGAGGTTAGTGTATTGTACTAAAGATGAATGTACAGTTAGGTCCATCGTGTCCGAATTGTCTGCCACTGTCCCTCTGCCATCTGCCAACATGTGTCCGATAAACCAACCGTAAGCTTGAAACTTTTCGACTGCTCTAATTAATTATGCTACCGCAGCGACTATGTAAATACAGTATCTCTCACAGTACCTTTTGCAAAGTCACCAATTTCGTCTTGTCCCTGTCCGAGAACATCCGGTAATACGTGCAGCAGGAGAAAATCAACCCTGAGCCTCAGGTGGGCCCACTCTGAAAATGTATAGGATCTCGTGGGCCGAAACATTTGTCGACGTGAGATTACTTCTACTGACGTTTGGGAGACTCCTACTGTACATGCTCCCATGTGGAGTTTCTTCATATTGGTTAAAAATAAAAGAAACAGCTCCACTTAAGTCGTCACAGCATTGAGCATGAGAATGAAGGTGGAGACGGTAACAAAAGCTTCCTGATGACTGGATGGTATGACAACAGTCAAACATCTATTTATTAAAAACAGATGGCAGATCATGCTTATGAGAATACATACTGATTTGCTCCTGGTAGAGCGGTTTGCATCGCTTGACAAGACTTGGAAAAGGAGCAGATCTTGGATTTTGTTATCAAAACATGCAGTTTTAGGGAAATATGCAGAAAGGTGTGATGCCCCTGAACAGCGTAAGTCAGCTAAATTGATAAAAAGATATCTTGAATGATATTTATAGAGACACAGAAACTACACGCCCCCATGCCTGACCAAACTGGTTCAATAGGACGTAAGATGAATATTTGGGTGATACTGTGTTGATTCATATGTGTGAATATATCAGTATCACACACGCTTTATATTCTTCTTTAGCATTCCAAGTCCATAAGGTTCAATGCTACAGATATACTCCTCCTGTACTCCTCTCTGTGATTGGCTTTCTCTGTCCAGTTGTGACTCCAAGTGCTAATAGGTCTGTCTGAAGGTTGTTCTTGTTTGTCCATCATGAATGATGAGGATTACTCTTTCTTTCATCCGTAAAAAAAAAACGAAATGATGAAAGTATGACTTTCCCCGATGATTTGTTTTAAATGAGGAATGTCGTAGCCCTCATTCTCTCGTCTGTGTCCATCTGGATCCCGGGGCAGGACAAGTCGAGACGACTTAAGATAAAGTCAGGTGCAGTAGATGACCAGCTGTGTTGTACGTGTCTCATCGTGCTGTTTACACTCTAGAGCGCGTTGCAAGTACCTCATCGTGCTCTTTACGCTCTAGAGCTCGTTGCAAGTGCCTCATCGTGCTGTTTACGCTCTAGAGCGCGTTGCAAGTACCTCATCGTGCTCTTTACGCTCTAGAGCTCGTTGCAAGTGCCTCATCGTGCTGTTTACGCTCTAGAGCGCGTTGCAAGTACCTCATCGTGCTCTTTACGCTCTAGAGCGCCTTGCAAGTACTTGTTGAACCAAGTCAAAAAACGAAAAAAAAAAGGGCTTCTTGTATTTAATTTGCTTTACAGTCTTCATGTTTTTAAATGTGTATTTGAACTGTAGACTAAGTTGCACTTTTCAGATGTTATTGTCTGTTTTGTGGCTCCCATGTCTTTCTTATTCAGAGTTAGAAGCTCTCTTCACTACCTGAACATGGGCGGCAATAACTTAGATATAGTCATTTCTGTATTATGTAAACAATGTATGCCACCTACCACTTGAATCATGCTTCGTTTATCGGTTTATCGCTTGATTTAGAGACGGAGGTCGTACTGCTTTCCTTTCCAAACATTAACATGCAATCTGTGGTTAGCCGATTGAGTGGTCAGTTGGTCGTTTGGTAGGCTAGCTTTTTGGTTCATTAGTTGTTGGGTTAGTTGATTGTTTGATTAGTTGATTGTTTGGTGTACTGCTTGTTTGCTTAGTTGATTGTGTGGTCAGTTCGTTGTTTGGTTACTTGATTGTTTAGTTAAATATTTTTGGTTAGTTGATTGTTTGGTTTGTTGGTTGTCTGGTTATTTTGTTGTTTAGTCCCGTGGTTTTTGTTTGTTTGAAGCGATTGTCTGGTTAGCTCGTTGTTTAGTTAGTTAATTGTTTTGTTCAGTGGTTGTTTGGTTAGTTGTTTATTTAGTTCGCAGATTCTTTGGTCTATTAATCGATTCGTAGGCCGCCTGTTTGTTTAATTGGTTGTTGGGATAGTCGATTATTTAGTTAGTTGATTGTTTGTTGTGTTGGTGGTTTGCTTAGTTGATTGTGTGGTCAGCTGGTTGTCTGGTTATTTGGTTGTTTAGTCAAATGTGTTGGTTTATTTTTAGTTGTTTGTTTGGCTAGCTGGTTGTTTAGTTAGTTGGTTGTTTGATTAATTGTTAATTTAGTTAGTTGCTTGCTTAGTTAGCCGATTGTTTGGTCAATTGGTTGTCTGGTTATTGGCTTGTTTAATCAAGTGCTTTTGCTGGTGGACTGTTTAGTTAGTTGATTACATGGTTAGCTGGTTATTAAGTTTATTGCTTGGTTAGTTAGCTGTTTTCTTTGTTGATTGTTCGGTTAGTAGTTGTTTGGCTAATTGATCGTTTGGTAAGGAGCTTCTTTGGGTAATTGGTTGTTTAGTTAGTTGATTGTTTAATTAATTGATTGTTTGGTTTTTTTGTGTTTGGTTAGTTGATTATTTGGTGACTTAGTGTTTAGTTGGTTGATTTATTTGGAGTGCTGGCTATTTTGTTAGCTGCTTGATTGTTTAGCTACTTCGTTATTGAACTCGTTGGGTATATGATAAGTTTGTTAGGAATCCTCTAGAAAACTGTGAAGGCCTCTGCGTCTTACATTATGGTAGTCTGAATCCTGACAAGCCTTGCACCTGAATAAGTTTGGCGTAGAGAGACTGCCCTCTAGCAACCAGCACGTTGGTAGATGGATTGATTAGTTGGTTTTGTTGGATGGTTGGTAAATGGCTAGCTGTTTTGGTGTGTGGTAATTTGAAGTTAGTGGGTAGGTGAGATTAGTTTATATGTTTCCCCCCCCCCCTCTTCTTGGAATTGTTGGTTGGTTGATTTCGTTGTGAATTCGTTGGTTGATTATGTCGTGAATGAGAGGATTTTGTAGGTTTGGATCTTGGGGGGGGGGTTGCTGGTTTGTGAAGCCCCCAGAAATATGTGTTTTACTCCGATGAATTGACGTCCAGTTTGTCTGAGCCTTTTAGATGATTTTCATTTTCCACATTCATGGGCACTAAGCTGTTTCCAAGCGCTTCTTCCTCTTCTTAAAAAATGGTTCAATGGGATGTTTTCTAATGACGGATTGTGTTGTTTCAGCTTTAGGATCTTAGGCGTTAGTAGAGGTTTTAATGTCACTACAGATGCGTCGACCCATAACTGTCCTTTCACACAAAATGTCCCCTAGTGTCCCATTTGAAAACTAGTGAAAATTTCTTCAGCTCCAGCAAAGTCCAGAAGCTTGCTCATGCATAGTAAAAAGAAAACTGTAGATGTACGAACATCAACGGTCTCACGCCAGAATGTAGGTGTTTTTGGCACAAACGGTCAGTCACGAAAGAAAGGCATTGCCCCCGTAAAGTACACGTTATGCAGAACGTAATCCGTAACGTGCCATTTTAGTGCGGTCAACAACACCATGCGGGAACAACAGAAAACAAGGTGCCAAATTAAATCTACGGCTCACAGTGTCACAACGAGCACTCACGTCAGTAGGTGGGCGACAGAACCTTCGGATTCCCAGTCCAGAAATTGGAAAATTGCATCAGCGTAATCTAACTAGAAACAAATAACTTTTCAGAGTTTGAGCTGTCAATCTGTCGGTCGTTTTTTAGTAGTGTTCAGTTTAAGTAGGCACAATCTTGACTTGTAGTGTTCAGTATATTCAGGTCGAATCTTGACTTGTAGAGTCCATTATAAGCCCGTCGAATCTTGACTTATAGTGTCAAGTATAAGCACGTCGAATCTTGACTTGTAAGTAAAAACAGTAAAGGACCCTTTTCCACGCCTTAAGGCGTATAGGGCATAGAGGGCTAGACCTATATTTTTATAGACCAATCGGCACAAGATGGGTGATGTGGTCAGTATCACGCCGGCCGCCTTCACTTTCCCGGGACTGCACCCGGTACCCACTCAAGGCTGGGTCGACCTGAGAGCCAAGGTCATTTCTGAAAAAAGTCCGGCTCCGCCAGGGAGCGAACCCACGACCTTCCGATCCGCGGCGAGCGTCTAGCCGCTCTGCCACGGCGACTCCCATCTTGACTTCTAGAGTCCATTATAAGCACGTCGAGTCTTGACTTCAGTCCGCTATAAGCACGTCGAATCTTGTAGAGTCAAGTAAACTCCTTCGAATCTCGACTTGTCGAATCCAATGCGATCAAAAAAAGGTCTAGATTTTATCGTCTGTTTGCCATTTCCAGTGTCGATCTTGTCTTCTACAGGCGCCAGCCCGTGAATTTGCTGCGGATGCACGGAAACACAAAGTGGCACGAGGCCTGTAACGAGGTCTACCAGCTGGTCAAAAGTGAACAGGATATCAACTTGAAGGGCGAGCCGGTCGACGTGAAGCCCATCCAGGACAGACGGGCAGCTTTTGAAGGGCTTGTCATGAAGTATGTGTTTGCTCTTCAATCAAATGTTTTGAATATTAGATTGCCGTGTCTTGTCTGCATCTCTATCTGTATATCTGAGTGTCTGTCTGTCTGTGTGTGTTTGTGTGTGTTTCGGCGTGCCTATATGTATCTCTGTCTGACTGTCCATCCATCCGACCGACTAAAAAGATGGACTGGCAGACTTAAAAGACATTCACTAAAAATAGATAAGTTACACAGGCAGGCGGACTAGAAAACAGTCAGGCAAACGTACAGATAGACAGCTGATTGGTAGTTGAACCCAGCCTCTGAATTCCTTTTTCTGTGAATCGCCTGGGAAGGCAAAGCGACCAGGACATGAACCAGCCCCTACAGTTCATGTGGACGGCATGACCTGAAACAGTATTCGTCAGCCCGCGGGTCGCAGCAAAAATGTCTGCCTAATCATGTAACAGGGTAGGGTAGATAGTTTGTACTCTTGTTGGATTGCAGTGTATAGAACTAACACCTCAGGAATGAGAATCGGACAGTTACTATTAATGTTCAACATACAATGTCAGCATTTAAAAACGCTGGCTGAAAACGTTGATAATTATTTTCCATTTTTGGAAAGTATAGTATCATGTGCGGCGTCCGTGGCTTAGGCGTTGCGAGACCGACTCGTAATTCCAAAGTACCGCGATCGAAACCCCATTGATGGCTGCGTGGATTTTTTTTTTTCGTAGTATAGGGCGTCGCAGGTCGACCCAGCCTAAAATGGGTGCTAGGATGGATGTCCTGGGGAAGTAAAGACTGCCGGCGTGATGCTGACCACATTACCCACTCAGTGCCAATTGGTCTGTAAATATATAGGCTCACTATAGGGGGAAAGGCGTGAAAAGGGATGTTTACTTTTTACTTTACTTATAAACAGATTAATGGAGATGTCTTGAACAAAAAACGAAGTCACGAAGAGAACTGATTGCCCACATTAGAAAAAGAGAGTTACACTCTTTGTTCATGTCATAAGAAGGAGAAAACCGGATTACATTGTGACAGTAGGAAAGTTGAAGTCGAAGATAGGCAGAGGGAGACCGAGAGAAAAGATGCTGAACAGTTCGACATCATGGCATGGAGGATCATCAGTGCCAGAGTTGATTGAAAATACACGAGACAGAAGGTTGTGGATATTTATGACTACCAACGCCAAAACGGCATGGACTTTAAGAATAAATTAGTAATCCTGTGTTCCGTTTAATCCTGTGCAATCCCTATGATATCATGGAAGGAATCCCGTCCAGTACATCTGGCGGCCTGCTCATCACCGTTCGTTTTAGATTTCCCTAGGTCGTCCTTGTTTGCTCTGTCCACTTGTTTCTCATTTAAGTGCCTGTTTGTTGATTATCTTCTGGCTGCTTCTCGGAATGTCCCTAAGATAACGTCATCTTCTTTTTATCATTACATCGATATCTGTGTTTTGTCTTAGTTCGCTATCTTTCTTGAATGCTTCTTATTTACATTAACATCCTTGGGTACTTTAAAAAAAAAATGGTAATAGTGTACAGAAACCAAAAACCACACGTCTTTTACGAGATAAGACTGTTGTGTGTGCATCTAATAGATACATTCGGTATGTGAAGTCCTTCAACATGCTTTGTGACTGCTACAAGTGGCTGGTGCACCCCCAGAAGAGAACACTGTTGAGAAGATGCATAGAAGCCGTGGCTGGGCGAATCTGTGAGATCAAGGTAATAGTATGTTCATCGACATCTTTCTCCTCTTTCCAGACCGTCGTGTTATATTGTGCTGTGTGAGAGGAGGCATAGCATTCATAGTCCATGGTGGTAGCAAGTGTTACAGGCAAGACCCACGGCGTTGAGAACGGTCTTCCACAAATATAGCATGACATTTCTTGACCGGTGTGGTCGTCATTTATATTGAGTGTGTTTCTTTTTTCGACGCTCAGCCACTTATCCTTTCTGCAATCATTTCTTCTTTCATTGTCATTTACTTCCTGATTTACCTCTTCACTCAACACGGTTCATGGCATTTTTGTTCCTACTAATTCACCTCAGAACCTGTATCGTTCATGTCCTGCTTGCAGACATCATTATATCGTAGTAAAGGTCGGTCTCGACATCTTCTATCCATCTGTAATTCACCATACAGGATGTCACCAGGGACTCTGCTATCCTCTGTTCTCCTGGTATGTCCTCGCCACCTAAGCCTTCGTAGTCTAAGCATTGAGAAAACCATTAGAATCCCTGCTCTTTCCAATCAATACCTCAGTGTTTGGGATTTTGTCTTTCCTCTTAATGCCAAGTATTCTTCCAAGGCACCCATGGCACAAAGCCTGTAGAGACCATATGTTGACCTCACATTATGATCCCCCTCGGTTGCCTCTCCCCCCCCCCCTCCCCATGCCCTAAACGAAAGTTAACACCTGTACGTTTGGAACAAAGTACGCGGCAGAAGCTGCTGGATCAGATGAGCATTGCTCTGTCCGCCTATGAAAAGCTTCCCCTCAGACCAGCTGCCAACCAAGGCCCTGCCCGAACGAAAAGTTTTCAGATTGCATTTACTCTTTCTATGATAAGGCTAGTATATTCCCCAAAACACCAGAAGCCGTTGGCACAATGTGAGATGTCAGGTTTGGTAGTCGCCACCCAACATTCAGCATTAAAAGAAAACAGGCAGTACCAGTTGTTGTTTTACAGTAGCTCAGTCTTGTCAAGGTAATAGTGGTACAATGATAAAGTACAGTGTAACATAATGTATGAAGTGGTATAAATGAACCCATGCCATAGCACAACTAATTATATTCAAGGCAGATCCGGTTTCGTCCTTTTTAGGATGAAATTTTTTGTCATTCGAAGCCCCACCCTGGCTTTTGCCAGGGGCCGCAATATAGGCAGGCCATAAATATGGCCAATTGTCTGAACGCGGTTTCTGGGACCTCTCCACGGCGATCTTCATCCACATGGTGGCACTTTGTGTCATCGGGTGTTTATCGCTTGTATGATGTCCTAGTGGGGTAGAAAGTCAGTCAGTCAGTCAGCACAACTGCGGGTTACAGCCGCCTGATGTAGCCGTTACGGGCGCCCTAATGAAAATGTCTTTGGAAGTTGAACGGGATATCTGCAATTTGTCTTGTCGGTCTGCAACTCAGGATGAGATGTGAGGTCTCAGGGTGTGGTCAAATATTAGGTGGACATTCTAAGGAGTAACGCAGTCAGAGAAGTCATTTCTAGATATTTGATCATATACAACCTGTACCTTTCGACATGGGTGTAAGTCTGTTGGCAGTTCATTCATGACCTTTCCAGGACCTATATTTGTGTGTGTGTAAAAAAAGGGGGGAGGGGGATAATATACCAACTGCTGCCCCTCCCCTCCCCGAAAGGAATGTGATCAAAGTCGACTATAAGGGGCAAGATAGGTATACCATTTTTGTGTGTAATCAATATACGTGTGTTAGGGTCATTGGTACCATAAAAGTTAACAATAATTATCTTTCAGTGGGAAATGGTCAACTTGGACAAATGTCTGTTCATCTGTTTTGATGACATACTGATCGATCTGGGACTCACACCGGCTGACCTCAAACTGGAGCTGCCCAAGTACATGCTGTCAGTAAGTTACTGCTGTTGTCTTGGGGAACTTTCGGTACATAGTGGTCTACATCGGTTGTTGTTGGTGTTGGGTAGTGTAGCTATCAGTAAGTTACTGCTGTTCTCGTGGAGAACTTTCGGTACATAGTGGTCTACATCGGTTGTTGTTGGTGTTGGGATGTGTAGCTGTCAGTGAGTTAGTGCTGTTCTCGTGGAGAACTTTCGGTACATAGTGGTCTACATCGGTTGTTGTTGGTGTTGGGATGTGTAGCTGTCAGTGAGTTAGTGCTGTTCTCGTGGAGAATTTTCGGTACATAGTGGTCTAAATCGGTTGTTGTTGGTGTTGGGATGTGTAGCTGTCAGTAAGTTACTGCTGTTCTCGTGGAGAACTTTCGGTACATAGTGGTCTACATCGGTTGTTGTTGGTGTTGGGTAGTGTAGCTATCAGTAAGTTACTGCTGATCTTGTGGAGAACTTTCAGTACATAGTGGTCTACATCGGTTGTTGTTGGTGTTGGGATGTGTAGCTGTCAGTGAGTTAGTGCTGTTCTCGTGGGAGAACTTTCGGTACATAGTGGTTGTCGCGTGCCTAATGTAAGGATTTCTCCTTCAGAACCAGCAGCACTCAGAGATAATTTTGTTGAGTCGTTTGGCTCGTATTGGTCTAAGGGATTCCCCGTGGCCAATATACGATCAACTTATCTCTGGAGTAGGGCAACTCAAGTATTGGCACTACAAAATATGTCAATATATATATATATATATATATATAATATTTCTAGGCACACTTGGCTGGACACCCCCACTACTTACTAAAGAAAGCCCCCAGGTTATGATAGTTCATTATCATAACCATGTTAACACATATAATGAAGATACACATACATACACAACTGCTAAACACTTAAAAAGGTGAAATAGAGACACCTAAGTCAGCCATGAAAATGAATGTATGTAATCAATATAAATTAGATATATAAAAGTGAGACAAATGCCAGATCTCAGGATATCATGTCCAAATCAAACAGATACTACACAGACAGAAGGTCTTGGAGATGACATCTTTTCATCCCTGGACACAAGGAGCTGTGAGGAACACAACATCATGCGAAGCATTAGACTTATCTTCTCTTCTCTCTGTCTATGATGCCTCCCTCAGCTCCGGATGATTTGACTGTCTTTGACTCTGGGAATTCTGCTCCACTGGATCAAGTAGTAAGAGTACTTCACTATACAGCAACTGTACCGGTATTTAGCAAGTCTCTATCACCAGTAAGGACACACAATGTCTTTGAGCCACATTAAGCTCTAGTACTGGTAGCTGTTTGAGGCACCATCTCCCATGGGTTGGAGATGTCAGGAACCTTCACAGGTGTTATCTGGTGGGTAACAAGTTGGTTCTGGTGGTTGGATGGTTGGTGGATGTTGGTGAGACTGTGAATCTTCTGCCAGCTCTTCAGAAAATATACATCCCAAGCATATGTAAAAACTGAGACATTTCCAGATTGCCTTGAAACGTGAAAGTTATACAGGCACAGATTAACACATCTGGATGCTTGAGAAGCTGGCAAGGAGAATAGCGTCGCTTAGACACTTCAGGCGTTGGTACAAAAGAAGTTCCTTGTATACTGGGGCAAGGAGTAAATCGGTTTCCAAGAAACCTCAAATAACTCCCTAAATATATCTCTAAGAGATATACATTTAAAAGTGGAGTTTAGTTAAAGTAACCAGAAAAGGCAGACATAATAATGTTGTCCAATACAGGCCTATATATATAGATATAAGGGACTATATATTTCTGGGCGAGTCCAAGTTTGAATTTTGTGCAGATTACAGGTAAGACAGGTTATCAGCCTTACAGACCGATGCGTAATGGCTATCATTTCACGACAGTACCCCCCCCCCCCCCCCAAGGGAAGAGCGTACTACGCGAATGAAAAATGATCAGCCATTTACACATCTATGGACTCACTACTTTCAGCTTGTTCATCACCTTCAGTCTGTGAATTATCAGACAAGGGATGGCGGCTCAAGAAATCTGCTCCCACATTCTGATTACCAGGAATATATTCCACAGTAAACGAATAGGGTTGCAGTAGCAAAGACCACCTCATCAATCTTGGATTCAAATGGGTAGAAGATGCCAAGAATACGAGGGGTTGGTGGTCAGTTTGTACTGTGAATTGTACACCATATAAATAAGGTTGGAACCGCTGTACGCTCCAAACCAAAGCAAGACACTCTCGCTCAATACAGGAGTAACGTCGTTCAGCCTGGTTGAGCTTTCTGCTGGCATATGCCACAGGAAAGAGAGTCTCAGAATCCTGTAAACCTGTCTGAAGGATTGTGGCCCCAATTCCCACCCCACTCGCATCAGTGCGCAAAACAAAGGGCTTAGATAAGTCCGGAAGTTGTAGCACTGGGGATGAAGTCAATTTCTCTTTCAGAGTGCGGTAAGCATCTTCACACTCAGGGGTCCAACATACCTTCTCATGACGATCTTTTTTGGTGGCATCTGTTAAAGGTGCCGCTATAGAGTTGAAGTTCTGAATGAACTTTTGTCTGTATGTCGCAGCATTAAGTTCGAAACGTTTCAGTAAAGCCTGACACAATGCATCATAATCAGTCTCAGTACCGGTGGGCATCCGTTGATAAATCTCGTATGCCTCACCCCTCAAACCTTGAGCCAACTTCAGCGTGTACATGTTCCTTTCCAAGTTGTACAAAGATGCCAATTTGCCAAATCGGTCTAGGTACTGTTCAATATTTTCAGCCTTCGGGTCGAAGACTGGCATAGGAAAGTTCATCGCTTGAGCTGAGCTACTGTGCATTGATGCACCATCAATATCAGGTGTTGGAGATCTGGGTCTATTACCCTCTCTCTGAGCCTGAAGTTCCAATTCTCTTAACCTCACCTCCTGTTCCAACTTCATTCTTTCTGACTCCCTCTCAGACTCAATACGGAGTCTTTCGCTTTCCTTTTCTGCTTCCATTCTGAATCTCTCTGCCTCACGGGCTTCCATCCTCATCTCACGTTCCGTGGTTTTAATCCACTCGGTCATTTCTTTACCCTCTAATCCCATCTGGACAGCCATGTCCTTCAATTCCTGTATGGAAATTTTTGACTGCGACATGCTGTCTTGTCAATCTAACAGTCCACAACAAAATATATTGTCACCAACAATGTAAATATAATCAACAATAGATTAAATTATCTCCACCAACCAAGGTTGTACCTAACCCAATGTACTTAGACACCACAAAACACCACAATGATTACAAATCACTCCTAGGAGTATACTCTAAGAACTGACCCAGAATGGTCCCACTGTGTTAACAAAAACAAACACTGAACAACTCCTGGCCAAGATCACCAGCAAATTTAAAGATTGAACAGTGTACAAAACAATCCCACGACGAGACCACAGATTTTTGGGGATATGTTGTTCTGTCACATATCACTCCTGTCGCGTGCCTAATGTAAGGATTTCTCCTTCAGAACCAGCAGCACTCAGAGATAATTTTGTTGAGTCGTTTGGCTCGTATTGGTCTAAGGGATTCCCCGTGGCCAATATACGATCAACTTATCTCTGGAGTAGGGCAACTCAAGTATTGGCACTACAAAATATGTCAATATATATATATATATAATATTTCTAGGCACACTTGGCTGGACACCCCCACTACTTACTAAAGAAAGCCCCCAGGTTATGATAGTTCATTATCATAACCATGTTAACACATATAATGAAGATACACATACATACACAACTGCTAAACACTTAAAAAGGTGAAATAGAGACACCTAAGTCAGCCATGAAAATGAATGTATGTAATCAATATAAATTAGATATATAAAAGTGAGACAAATGTCAGATCTCAGGATATCATGTCCAAATCAAACAGATACTACACAGACAGAAGGTCTTGGAGATGACATCTTTTCATCCCTGGACACAAGGAGCTGTGAGGAACACAACATCATGCGAAGCATTAGACTTATCTTCTCTTCTCTCTGTCTATGATGCCTCCCTCAGCTCCGGATGATTTGACTGTCTTTGACTCTGGGAATTCTGCTCCACTGGATCAAGTAGTAAGAGTACTTCACTATACAGCAACTGTACCGGTATTTAGCAAGTCTCTATCACCAGTAAGGACACACAATGTCTTTGAGCCACATTAAGCTCTAGTACTGGTAGCTGTTTGAGGCACCATCTCCCATGGGTTGGAGATGTCAGGAACCTTCACAGGTGTTATCTGGTGGGTAACAAGTTGGTTCTGGTGGTTGGATGGTTGGTGGATGTTGGTGAGACTGTGAATCTTCTGCCAGCTCTTCAGAAAATATACATCCCAAGCATATGTAAAAACTGAGACATTTCCAGATTGCCTTGAAACGTGAAAGTTATACAGGCACAGATTAACACATCTGGATGCTTGAGAAGCTGGCAAGGAGAATAGCGTCGCTTAGACACTTCAGGCGTTGGTACAAAAGAAGTTCCTTGTATACTGGGGCAAGGAGTAAATCGGTTTCCAAGAAACCTCAAATAACTCCCTAAATATATCTCTAAGAGATATACATTTAAAAGTGGAGTTTAGTTAAAGTAACCAGAAAAGGCAGACATAATAATGTTGTCCAATACAGGCCTATATATATAGATATAAGGGACTATATATTTCTGGGCGAGTCCAAGTTTGAATTTTGTGCAGATTACAGGTAAGACAGGTTATCAGCCTTACAGACCGATGCGTAATGGCTATCATTTCACGACAGTGGTCTACATCGGTTGTTGTTGGTGTTGGGATGTGTAGCTGTCAGTAAGTTACTGCTGTTCTCGTGGAGAACTTTCGGTACATAGTGGTCTACATCGGTTGTTGTTGGGAGTGTAGCTATCAGTAAGTTACTGCTGTTCTCACTGAGAACACCGTTGGTGTTGGTGTTGTGTTATTGGCACTAACTTACAAGCGTTCTGCGGGAAACTTTCGGTATGTTATGGTCAACATCGGCTAGAGGTTGGAGTTTTATGTTGCGCTGCTGGCAGCAAGTTGCTGCTGTTCTCCTTTTATAAAGTGGTCTTCGTCAGTTTGAGCGGCGTTGTGTTGGCTTAGGTTTTTGACAGTAAATTACAGTTGTTTTCGTGTACACTTTCAGTGTATTTTGCTCTACCTCGGCTGTTGTTAGTGTTATATTGTGCTAGGCTCTGTTGTGTTGCTGGCGATATGTGACTGCTTTTCTCCTACTAAACTTTATGAATAACATCGTCTACGTTTGCTATTTTTGGCGGTGCATTACTTTTGCAATTGATGACGTTTTTTTCACTGATGGTGGTGTTAATGTATCTTGTTACTAGTGGTGACATAGTTGCATGGTTTTTTTATTTAGGGGAAGTGAGGGGGGGGGGGGTATACTGCAAGTGCGCTCCCAACTTTGAAATAGGCTAAACTGCCCCCCCCCCAACCTCACCTGTGTATATAAATCCTCTCGAACTTGCACACACACACACACACACACACACACACACACACACACACACACACACACAATATGTACGAGGAAAGTCGATAATTGGTTATGCGATGGCAGAAAATGTAATTGGTGGTTTCCAAAGACATAATAGCTGAAAGCAACATCAAACTTTAGGTCTGTGTTCGTTAGGTGGCGCTAGGTATTGCATGCGCATTCGCAAAACAAAAACAAAATGGCGACTGTACTGAAGGAATTTACCCTAAAGAACAACGTGCTGTTGTGCGTTTTTGGGGAGCAAAAGCGCTGCCTGCAAGGGACCTTCATAAGAAAATGCTTCCTGTTTATGCTGACAAATGTTTATCCCGTGAAGCGGTGCATAAGTGGGTAAATATGAAAATAAAATATTCTCAAGGACCCTATAAAATTGTTGATGATCTGGTCGTCCTGTTAAGATTGCAATCGACGCATCCGTGCAGCGGGTGGAGGAGATGATTAGAGGTGACAGGCGACTGAAGGTTGACTCTATAGTTGCTACAATAGGGTGCTTACATGGTTCAGCATACAATATAATGCATGATCGATTGCAATTAAAAAAAGAAAGTTCAAGGTTGGTACCCCTACAGTTGTCAGACGAACAGAAAATGAAATGATTAGGCCTGTTATTACAGCATCTTTGTCGATACGCAGATGCAGGCGAAGACTTGCTGAACAGGATTATTACTAGGGAAGAATCATGAGTGCTTCACAACCAGCCCGAATCAAAGCGTGCTTTATTGCGATGGAAGCATCCTTCTTTGCCTTGTGTTAAAAAATTCAAGGTTACGCCATCAGCAGAGAAAGTTATGCTGACAGTGTTCTGGGACTGTCAAGTAGTTTTTTTAACAAATTTAAAAAAAAAAAAAAGAAATAAAGAAAGAAAAGGTGAATTATCATTGATACTCTAAAGTTCTATCGACACTTCATGATGCTATTCGAAGAAAACGTCCAGACCTAACTAGAGAAGAACTGCTCTTTCATGACTGTGCCAGATCACATGCGGCTCGGTTAACTCAGGCGAAAATTACCCATCTAGGGTGCGAACTTCTGGAATATTCACCTTACAGCCCGGACGTAGCCCCTAGCGATTTCCACCTTTTTAGGTCCACTGAAACCCCACCCTGACGGGAGACATTTTGCGAATGATGCAGAAGTTGAATGTGAAGTAAAAATGTTCTTTAGGAAACAGAGCATGCGGCTCTATGCAGTTGGTTCTGGAGGACGGATACAACAATGGGACAAGTGCATCAGTGTTGGTGGGATTTATGTTGAAAAATAAAGTGACAGTGTATGTGTAAAAATATTGTCTTAATTATTATTATTATTTTTTTTTTTTTTTTTTTTGAGAACCAATTGTGACTTACATTTTTACTTCCCCTTCGTAAATATAGCCATATATAATTTATAATACATACTTTTTTGTTTTGTTTACCAGCTAAACTTATTTACCAACCGGCGCCATTATTACGACATCCAGATAAATATGACCGCCCAAGAAACACATAATTAAAATCATATTTATACCAGTACTGTGCTACCAAACTTGGACATTAGCTGTGTCTGACCTATGCAACATTAACATATGGAAAATAAGATGCTCCAGGAAAAGCAACCAACCTAACTATCCGAGACAAGGATACGAGAAATGGTACTAACAGACAGACTGTATGAACAACTCCATGCACCAAATTAATGGAGAAACAGAAGATCATATGTTCTGGTTACCTCGTCAGAATGCTATCACAGCCACCACCACCATATGTGCTACATATAAAAAGTTATGATGTAAACACACGAGGTCGCCCTAGGAGAAGACGAACTGGGGATAATAAAGCATTCTGCATCGATGTAGAATTACGATATCTATTGCTACCCAATAAGCAATGGATCGCAAACTATTCCTCACCATGTCGCTTAACACAAAAGTGAAAATTTATGATAATGATATTTATTCGCCATTCGGTACATTATTATTAAACACTTTAGAAAGGCGTATGTCACTTGAGGCCCCTTTCCACACGCAGAAAATCTCTATGGGAACATCCCTGTAATGTTTTCTATTTGTCTGTATATATTATTTCTTACAGTGAAAATATGTATCGAAAAATATTTTGTTCTCAAAAATCTTAGGAACGATTCCGAATTTTGCAAATGAGAGAACGACTATTGGCCATGATGATTGAGCGGATTAAAAGCATAGAAAACCCACAATTGGATGACATCATTTGCCAAGTGCAGGATTCCTCGCTTGAATCATCTGTGGAAGAGTTTTCGACCGAGAAATCGGAACCCCCAAATGATAATACGTCCCAGGCTTCATTGGATGGACAGGATCGTCCAGTGGATGTCAAGTGAGTGCGTTAGTTAGTAGACACTTCATCCTTAGTGCATATATATCTGTTCAGTCCATCAGTGCTCAGACCCTCTCATCAATAAATGCCGCAGCGTGTAGCTGCAGGCGACGTGACTTCTATCCTGGTTTGTTATCATAATTTGGCTTCCCGCATTGTGCTCTTGTCCGGTATCATCCATTCTAACTGGCTGTTCTTGTGGTTTGGTCATAATTGCTAATTCGCGTTCACCCTTAGATTCCTGGAAACGTCTTACTTGTTGCAGAATATTCATCTTGCCATCTTGGTCGCTTGCTCGTCCCAACCGGCATATTAACTGTATCTGCAAGTCTATCAGGTTTTTTTTATCTTTCTTGTTTTAATTTTTTTTTTTTCACTCCAGCAAAGCCTGGCATGAGAATGAAACTGTTGTTTATCAGCAGTGATCGTTTTAAAGACACCAGCCACTGTCTTTGGCCAGGTCCATCTCTGTCTTCCTGAGCGGATGCTTATTGAATCACTGAGAAATCCTGCCCAAGAGAAGGTTTGTCTCTCCAGCCAGGTCAGTGTTTTGGTTACTGTATTGACCTCCAGAGTCAGACTACTCGTAGTTAAGGCAAAAGCCCCAAAGTCTTCCTTTACAGTTCTTCCATTAACCTGAGCAGTAAAGGCATATGAGCTTCTCACATGTAGAAATACATAGCTCTGTGTAAGTGACAGCCTTGTCTTCAGAGCAATTCTCGAAAATCAAAGCATATCATAAGAGTATTTATTTTCCCTATGACATATTCCATATCTCAGGGCTTTTCAACCTTTCAAGTCGGCTTTCTGAGTGCAGTTTTTTTCAGAAGTCCTGGTGATCATTACTGGAGATACAAAGAATGGGCTGTTCTGTAGAGAGACTGGGCCATATATAAGATAAAACCTTGTGATAAAACCCAGTTTACAATTTTGATGAGTCTGGTTCAGCGGAGAGCGAGTATAGGATCTGGACGTTACGTAACGTCAGGAGGAAAAGATGGTGGGATAGGATTGTTCCTGGCACCATTAACATACAGTTTTTAAAAAAAAGTAAAGATCCCCTTTCACGCCTCTAGACGCATCGAGAATAACGGGAAAAACACTCGTATTTTTACAGACTAATAGGCACACGGTGGTTAATGTGGTCACTATTACGCAGCTCATCTTGACTTCTCCAGGATTTGCATTCTAGTACCCATTTTGGGCTGGGTCGACCTGCGACGCCTCATGCCATGATAAAAATCCACTCAGCTAGCAGTGGGTTTTGATCGCAGTACGTTGGAATTACGAGTCGGAGTCGCAACGCCTAAGCCACGGACGCCGCGCACCATTATCATGGGAATTCTTTATTGGCAACCGAAGCAGAGGGTGTAGGAAATATGAGAATCTCTCAAATAAAGTGATGACACATGTTGACTCTACAATTTTTTCTTTCCCTCCCCTTTTCACTTACAAAAAAAAAAAAAAAAAATGTAATGATACAAATTGTGTGTGGTTCCGCCGTTCAACCACAGTAAACAAGTACCGATAATTACGAGAAATAATAAAAATCCAGCAATCCTTTTCAACCACAATGTATATATACAGATAATTTAAAGAAGTATAACAGTTCAGCATGTTCGTTCAACCACAATGCACATGTGCGTGTAATTATGATAAATAATAAATCAGCAAGAGAATATTCCACACACAAAAATCTGCAATTAAAGTATATTTAGTAAAGCTGTTGAACCAGGCATAGTCAGTACAATTCAAAACTAAAGTTGGTAGTCACGAACAAAGGTTGTCTGATCTGGTAATGTGGTTATCTTAGTTTCAGCTTCATAGCAAACGGGTCACCCCATAGTTGCTCCGCTCCTGTGCCAACGAAAAACACAAAGAATGTTTATCACAGTCCCTTGTGAAACGATTGACAGACTGCTGTCTCAGCATATGTACTAGCATACACACGCATTGGTTGTCTGAGAAAAGCTGCGTGAGCGTCCAGAAGAGATAATATAAGGAATGGGGTTCACGGAGAAAGAGTCTTCATGGAACGTATATTGAATTACATACAAGTAAAAGCACAAAAAAGGGTTTGTCACCTAGAAAAATCATTCTTGTGGTGCCACATCGTACAAGAAATAAGAGGAAAGATTTCAAGGTAGACGAGGAACAAGGTACACACATCATGGAAACCACAACAGACATCCAGAAAAAGCGAGAACCAGATTCCTGAATCTTCTACGACACCCGCAGTTGTAGAAGAGGAAGTAAACAGCACGAAGAATACGTAAAAGAAGCATATCTTTAAGCCACACCATTGATTTTCTTCTGTTCAGTATGCTTCGTTGTAAAACAGACACATGGTCTTCAGAATGGTCTCCTCAAAACGTTAAGCAGATCTTCTGTCCTTTCATGCAGGTGTTTGGAGTGGTAGCATGACCTCACAGGGACCAGTGGTAGTGGAGTTAAAGATTGATAGGATTCATTCTCCGTTGGTTCTGGTGTCCCACCGTGGGGGTGGGGGGGGGTATAGACCCACGGGTACCCTTCAAAGTCGGAGTGCATCTGCCTGAGAGGCTAGGAACCAACAGTGTGCGTACAAATAAGAGAGATCTGTAAAACAGATTTGCACGCTAAACTTAAAATGTGGTACAAGACTAAAGTCCAAAAGTGGACGAGCAACCAAAACTTTCCGCCGCAGTTTACAGTCCCTTAACGCGAAGAAGAAGAAAAGGATAGGCTTAAAAACTTGAGAGGGCAAACGAGCTAATCTTATGGTTTCAACGGGTAGGTATTATGGGCATGAGATTTGAGACCATAATATATGGTACGAGTCACACATGACAGATTACTAGAGATTGAAAGTAGGCTGACGAATCCTCTTCTTCTGCCTTGTCAGAAAGTAGCACACATCCAGAGGAGTGGTAAGAGCCAGTCACTTAAAGTCAACGAGATAAATCGTTTTACACACCTCCAAGCGTGTTGAACATATGAGACTAGACCTATATTTTATAGACCAAACAGCACTTGGTGAGTGATGTGGTCAGCTTCACATCGGCCACCTTTACTTCCCAAGACTGTACCTGATACCCATATACGACCGGGTCGACCTTGGAACCAAGGTTTTTTTCGAAAAAACCCAGCCAGGTCAGGACCTGAACCCACTACCTTCTGATCAGCAGCAGTGTTGCCACATTTTTTTTTGACAAAAAACATCCAAAACGGAGTCACAAAATATCTAAAAACATCTAAATATGCGTGGGAAAACATCTAGAAAAAACATCCAAATGGAAAGAGTCACAAATTGCATAGCAATTGACTTACCCTATAGAATCACGTCCTCATCTTTACTGAAGAAGACTTACAAGATCCACAGGATAAACTTAGCTTGGATGATGAAGTTGTAGCTTCGGGTCCAAAATGACTGGTATGCTTTGGCTGTTCTAATTTCTTTTAATACCCAATAAGGTAGCTGATAAGTTGAACGCCTTCTCCTTCTCTTAATCGGCAAAATTGTATTGTCAAGATAGCATTTAAGAGGTCAAATTTCATCCTGTTTCCTAGGTTAAATTTGATAAATTTACTCTAAATGAAAAGCTTCTAGAAAAACATCTACCATCTAAACGTCAAAAACGCCATCTAAATGCAAGGAAAAACATCTAAATTTGGATGTAGATCATCCAAAGTGGCATCACTGATCAGCAGACAGAGTCAAGCCACAACACCAGGGTGGTTCCCAGCAAGTCGTCACTTTTATCATTTGTTACTCAACACACTCACATTTTCGGGGTAGAAAATCCACGACATGCTGATTGTCTCAGTGTGTTAGAAGAAGTGGAACTTACTTATCTTCTCTTCTCTTTGCGTTAGGCAAAACGTACCTACCAGCTGTCACATTCAGTATATAATCGAACATTTCAACATCAGCCCCACATTGAAAGCAAAGATAGTGCTTATCCAGCGACAATGGCGGGCCTGGATATGTCGGCAGCAGCTAAAAAGACTAGAGGAAACCGAGGAGGTTGCCTTAGGGATGAGATGGCCACACATGGATACATTCCCAAATGCTAAAGAGGAGGTAACTGTCTGTAGTTCGATAGATATATCATTCATTGGTGTACAGTCACTCATATACGTTTACATTTCTCTGTAGATCAGTTTGGCAACTGGGGAGGCGTCAATTATAAAATTCATAGTTATCTGTAGATCAGTTGGTAGTTTCTCCCCGTGTGGGTTTCGGGACCCCACTTAAGGAAAGACCAGAAAAGACCCACTGCCTAAACAACCAGCATGTCGTAAGAGTCCAATAATTTGGGGTTTCCTTCGAAGTCGGAGTGCATCTGCCTGAGAGGCAAAGAACAAATAATCTGTATTACATATGTTAAACGGATGTGCACGCAACTCTCAGGTTCTGGAACAAGACTAAAGTCCAGAGTTGGACAAACAACCAGAACTTTACAGCTAGTAACTGCAAAGAAAAAGAAGAAGAGGTTTTGGAGAAATTATTCATTTTATTTTTAAAATTATATGTAAATTAGTCAGTAATTGGGAACAAATTACTTACCTGCATTCAAAATCATCTGCAGAAGGTTAGATAATTTGGGGAAAAATTACCAACTTTAATAATTATCTTCACATCTCTATGTAATACTGGAGAAATCGTGATATAATGATATCATAACTAACGGCAGATCGGCTGGTGATCGAAAATAAATTACTTGTGTACTTGATTTTTGTAGATCAGTTAGTTATAGGAAGAAAATTGCATAGATTCATCATTTAAAAAAAAAATAAAAAGTAGACAAGTGATCAACATAAATTACTCTCTTATTTACTTACAGATCAGTCTGTGATGGTAGGGACATTGATTACATAATTTATTATTAAGTGTAGATCAGTTAGTGGTCTAATGGGAATCGCTTGCATATTTTCATGCAAATCTTTGGTCTAAGAGAAATAGCCTGCTTACTTTCTTGTAGATCTAGATCAGTCCGTGGGCTAGAAGGAATGGTCTGCTTACTTTCTTGCAGATCTAGATCAGTCCGTGGGCTAGGAGGGATGGCCTGCTTACTTTCTTGTAGATCTAGATCAGTCCGTGGGCTAGGAGGGATGGCCTGCTTACTTTCTTGTAGATCTACATCAGTCCGTGGGCTAGGAGGAATGGTCTGCTTACTTTCTTGCAGATCTAGATCAATCGGTGGCCTAGAAGGAATGGCCTGCTTACTTTCTTGTAGATCTAGATCAGTCCGTGGGCTAGGAGGGATGGCCTGCTTACTTTCTTGCAGATCTAGATCAATCGGTGGGCTAGGAGGGATGGCCTGCTTACTTTCTTGTAGATCTAGATCAGTCCGTGGGCTAGGAGGGATGGCATGCTTACTTTCTTGTAGATCTAGATCAGTCCGTGGGCTAGGAGGGATGGCCTGCTTACTTTCTTGTAGATCTAGATCAGTCGATGGGCTAGGAGGAATGGTCTGCTTATTTTCTTGCAGATCTGGATCAGTCCGTGGCCTAGGAGGAATGGTCTGCTTACTTTCTTGTAGATCTAGATCAGTCCGTGGGCTAGGAGGGATGGCCTGCTTACTTTTTTGTAGATCTAGATCAGTCCGTGGGCTAGGAGGGATGGCCTGCTTACTTTCTTGTAGATCTAGATCAGTCCGTGGGCTAGGAGGGATGGCCTGCTTACTTTCTTGTAGATCTAGATCAGTCGGTGGGCTAGGAGGGATAGTCTGCTTACTTTCTTGCAGATCTAGATCAATCGGTGGCCTAGAAGGAATGGCCTGCTTACTTTCTTGTAGATCTAGATCAGTCCGTGGGCTAGGAGGGATGGCCTGCTTACTTTCTTGTAGATCTGGATCAGTTCGTGGGGTAGGAGAAATGGTCTGCTTACTTTCTTGTAGATCTAGATCAGTCCGTGGGCTAGGAGGGATGGCCTGCTTAATTTCTTGCAGATCTAGATCAGTCGGTGGCCTAGGAGGGATGGCCTGCTTACTTTCTTGCAGATCTGAATCAATCGGTGGCCTAGAACGAATGGCCTGCTTACTTTCATTCAAATATGTAGATCAGTCTGTTGTCTAAGTGGAATTTCGTGCATACTGTTATAGGTATCTGTAGATCTGTATGTGATCTGAAAGAGGTTGCTTACATGTTTTCACATGCCTATTTAGATCAATTTTTCATACATGTACACGACAACCTCAGCAACAAAAACCACTAAATACTTGTATAGACAGCCGATTTCCATAGTCTGGTCATCAGAAAGATGAGACGAGAAAGAAGTACTCGCCTTGAGGGATTCTTACCTAGAAAAGTACGAAAGTTCTCATGCATACCAGGCACCAGCCCTGAATCCTGATACTAAAATACACAACCTTTCTACTGCCCATTGTCTAAACAGACAAACATAACATAGATGTGATCAGGATAAGTCAAGTAGGATTACAAAACAGAAATCCTGAGGGCAGAAATTACTGAAGTTCTATCGGGCAATCTGAATTGCGGAGACATCCTTTAACGAAATAGATATAGCATAACAATAGCTGGCACAGTATTGGTAAATAATTTTATAGAACATAAAAGAAACTAATAGTTCAGCCATCTGGTCAGATTGGAACAAAATCGGCCAGCGGGTACTAAATTAGAACGGCGTGCTATAAGTAAAGAGGCCCACCAGGAAAGGTTCCAGCACAAACAGCCCAGCTCTAGAAGTGCAGTTCATCGACAGAAGCATTAGTTACAACAAATCAGTAGTTGTACACGCACTTAATTTTATAAGGTATCACCATTTCTCTGGTGGTAAGAGGCCACACGACATTTTCTGCATCTGCCGTTCATAATACAACCCACGTCTGGGACAGCCGACAATCTGTATATGACAAATGATTGTAACCAAGTTAGCTTTCAGTTTGAAATTTAAACAACGGATCAACATCAAGGCCCACGGGTAGTAACCCATAAGTGCTCCGTTGTTCTTCTAACTCAAGTCTGAGTCCGAAGAAGCTCAGCACAGTACACTAGCTCTGTAGCACCGACGAGGATCCTGAAATACTGTGGGTAGATTTTTAACTCCAAATTTTGCTCGGGCAGCGCTGTTAGTCTACTTTTTTTCGATTTCCAACTGCCGAGGGATTATTTTACGTGCGCAACAATGCACACGGGCGTCCGATCTCACTACCCAGAGACCAGGGGGAACTACTAGAAGTCCAAGTCCACGAGAAAACATCCCAGCTTTAGTTAGCTTTCAGCGAAAGATTAACTTATATTTTTAAGTGTTAACCACTGTTTCCTAATCGGTCAGTCAGGTGTCGTCTCTACTGTGAAGGTTGGCTGCAATGGATCTCCAACACTTTCTGTCTGTTGTCCTGGTTGAACACTCTCTCAGACTGCTGTTCGTCCATCTCTTGATGTCTTACAATTTATATTGGGGTCTGCTTCCTTCTTTCTTGCCTTGAACTTTTCCCTCCAGCAGTTATCAGTTATTTTTCTTGTCTCTTGTTTACTTTTGCAGCAACTCACTCTTTATTCACATTAACAGCGCGACCTATGTATTTAATTGTTTTAGTTTTTGTGAAATAGTTAGATACTTCTGTATATACACATCTCCGGAGATTTAAGTTCAATTTTCTAGTTAGTATTCATTGTCCAGGGTTGTACAGTAGGGTTCCCAGACCTGTTTGTTAACTCTTTGAGTCCCAGGGGGTTTAGCATCACAAGGGTTAGTCAAGAGAGACTTGCGTTAATTGGGCTTCTAGGTAGGAACCTATGAACGTATGGCGCATTCTTTGGGACTTAAAGAGTTAAATTGTTTGTTTCCTGTCTCAAGGCTGGCTACAGCTAATCTGATCTGGACTTCCTTCCTTCGCAGGTTAATTAATTTTTCTCCCTCTGGGAGTTCGGGGCTCCCATTGAGGGTTGGAAAAGGGGGGGGGGGAGAAAAAGATCACTGCCTCCTAATAAAAATGTTGTAAAAAAGGGACCGAACAGTGGTTTGCTGAGATCGGATGTGTTGTGTCTAAGGGGGTAAATATTACAGTCTAGTTTTGAACCACAACACAAGGTGCCAACTGTCCTTCTAAGGGCGAATGCAGAAAAAAGTAGAATCTAATTTACTGCTATGTGATATATCATTCTGTATTTACTGTATTAATAGCAAGTCTGTAGAATGTCACGCAGTTAACTAGCAAGTTATCAGTTATATTGTAACTATAAGCAGCGTTCGTTTGAAACCGGTTCGTGTCAGCCGTGTTCATTGCCCGCATTGAACAGGATCATGTCGTAGTCACGTGATAAGTACTGAGAACTGAATACAACTAGCACATGTTTATCGTCACAGGATGATATAACTTCCCGTCCTCTTCAGGATGAAATTTTTCGTTATTTGAAGCCCTACTCTGGCTAAGCCAGGGGCCGCAATATAGCCCGGCCATAAATATGGCCCGATGGCTGAACGCTGTTTCTGGGACCTCTCCACGGTAATCCTCATCGACATGGTGGCACATTGTTTCATCGGGTATTTATCGCTTGTGTGATGTCCTGGTGGGGTAGAAAGTCAGTCAGTCAGTCAGAGGATGCATGGGTTCTGTTTCCGACCTTTAAGAAACTGACCGGGTTGATTCAATTCCCCACCCCCCCCTCCCCCTCCAATTCCCCAAGAAGCCCAAAGATCGGTTTTTCGGTGTCTTTTATTTCTAGGATATCGACCAGTGGCTCTGTTCATAGGAGAATGCCTACAACAGAAACAGACTGGGCACTGATGTTTCTGAAATGTCATGAGTTCACTGCGGATCCTCCACGGCCACTTCGAACGCATATATATGGTTGTTAAGAAAAAGCAGATAAAAACCATCGCCAAAACTAATGCAGTGGTACAAGTGTATCATTGTCGAAGCACACGTTCTCTAGCGAGCGAACTCGGTTGCGCCAGTTAGGACAGTTCTTACAGGGTTTCTTCGTAAGAAACTGCACTATTTGTAGGTGTGTTCACAGATGTTGACCGGCCACCAAGAGGTGGAACGCACTGGAAGGTGTTTGAACTACTTGCTGCGTTAGAGGGTGAAGGGTGATGCATTTCGCTTCCGCAAAGTGGCAGGCGAGGAACCTTTCTGTCATCACTTTGAGCCGGGCAACAAAAGAGAGAGCAGACACTGGAAACATGCTGGATCACCAAAAGCAACATGAATAATAATAATAATAATAATAATAATAATAATAATAATAATAATAATAATAATAATAATAATAATAATAATAATAATAATAATAAGGTTACATGTTATTGCTGGTAAAGTTTTACGGAGCAAATTTTTTTAAAGCCATGAAGGGCTTTTGTTGGCAGACTTTAAAGAACATGAGGTCAACATCAGCTCGACCCACTACTTGGAAACACTAGACAAGCTGCATAAAGCCAAGAAGAATAAACACATTATGTTATGCTTTCTCGCCGTATTTGTTGCAATATGATGCTCGTATGTAGATTGCATCTAGTAAAGAGTCTCAATGAGGAGAATAATACCAGCCGTGCCCACACTGTCATTGAAGATGGTGGGAAAGCTTTCATTGGTAAACAAGCAGCAAACCTGCTGGCTGATAGTTTTGCAGAGGAAAGCAAAATCTTCATGTCTAGAGTGAGAGAAGAAGAAGTGACGAGAGAACTGAGGAAAATAAATAAAAAACCAAGAAGATAACTAAGATATAATGAATAAACCCTTCAGTCACCGAAAACTTGAATGCTCATTGAGAAACCTTATGAAAAGGAAGGCACCTGGGCCTGATCGAATAACAAACGAAATGATAGTACACTTGGGATCAGCTGGTAGGCAACGACTCTTAGACCTTATACACCAATCCCGGGCCCAGGGACTACTTCCTAAGGAATGGAAGCAGGCAGAAATAGTTCCCATAGCCAAGAAAAGAAAGCCCAAGGAAAACAAATCCAGTTACCGCCCCATAAGCCTCCTAAGGTGCCTTGGAAAGACCATGGAAAGATTAGTGAACAACAGGTTACTTAATTTCCTGGAAGAAAACAAGATATTGGATGACAGCCAATCAGGCTTCAGGAGATACAGAAGCACTGATGACCAAACCTCTTATCTCGCACAGGAAATTGAAGATGCTTTCCAGAAAGAAAGAAAAATCTGCTAGCTACTTTCTTCAACCTGACCAAAGCCTTCGATAAGGTCTGGAAGAAAAGACTTGCTAAAACTATCACACTGTGGGATAAAATAGCATATGTTTGCCTGGATTAAACACTTCCTTTACAGACGCTGTGCGAGAGTCAGACTGGAAGATCACAAAAGCAAGCTGGTCAGGTTATAAGAAAGTATCCCCCAGGAAGGTGTTATATATACTACCCTGTTTATTCTTTTCATCAATGACCTACAAAACAGTTCACGACTCACATTCACAAGGCGCTGCATGCAGATGACCTGGCCATATGGACCCAAGCTGAACATATCGGAACAACTAAAACAAGAATGCAGGAAGCTATAAATACAGTTAAGTCACAATAAATCCGTCTGTGTCCACAAAGCCAGAACAGGTTGATCTGTACCTAGAAGGCAACATCCTTCCACAAGTGGATAACCCCACATATTTGGGAGTAAAATTTGACAAAATGCTAACTGGGGCACCCACATTGAAGACACCCAAAGGAAAGCTACTCTGAGGCTCAGACTTATGAAGAAACTTACTGGAACAAGCTGCGGGGCAGATGCCAACATTGTACGACAAGTATACACTGGATACGTACGACCAAAACTGGAGTATGGGATGGGAGCATACTCAACTGCAGCTAAATCAAACCTACACAAACAATAAAATACAGAACACTGGTCTCAGAATCATCACTGGAGGTATGAGAGGCACACCAATTATGAGCTGGAGGCAACCTGTGGCCTCCAGAGCTTGAGCCATCAAAGGGAAGAAAAGGTCCTTACCCTAACAGAAAAATTTAAACGCATGCACAGAATAGAAAATAACTTAACAAACAAAAAAAAAACCGACTTAAAAGACATAGCTTTCACCATCTATCAAAATTGTAGCACAAAAAAACAATGACATCCTTTCTAAAGATCCTTTAACATGGGAAATGATCCAGGCATACAGCATAGACCTACAGCCTAAATATACAGTCACAACAACAATTCAAGGCATAGACAGAAAGGCTGAAGAATGTGAACTTGTACTGCTTGCAAAGACCCTTGAACATGTCTACAACTGTTATTCAAGACTCGAATGGAGACACATTTACACGTATGGATCATTGGAGGGAGCAGACATAAATGGAGGAGATGGACTGGTCACCATGCTGCAAGACCGGACCACAGTAGACACGTCATGTGCCTCCGGAAGACTCTCAACAAACTTTAGAGCAGAGCAGCAAGCGATTATTGATTCAGCCAAAGTGCTCGAGGAAAGAAAAATTAAAAACAGCAAAATTGTTTTTCTTTGTGACTGCATGTCAGTCCTCCAGGCGACTCATAGGGATAGAAGGGAGAACATGGAAAGAGAACTGACCCGTCAGCTAAACAGACTCACAGAAAACAATCAAATCTTTCTACAATGGATCCTTTCTCACTGCGGCATACCAGGAAATTAGTTTACAGACAGCAAGAATTAGACAAAGTGCAAAATCAAGCACTCAGAGTTACCACAGGCAGTATGAAATCAACACCTATAGCTGTGATGGAGAAAATGGGGATGACCCAAGCACTGAGTGAACGCAGAGACACCAAGATGCTTTTACAAGCAGAAAAGTTTCTTAGTATGCCCAGTCACCCTATGAATGAAAGATTCAAAAATTTAGCTTTGGGACGACTAAAGAGAAGTAGTTTTATCCACCAGGCCAAACGGCTCGGCAGACAAACCACTGATTTACCTGCAACTGATAGATCCTTAAATGCTGTCCCAGAACGGACCCCCTGGAGAGAGGAGTATAAGTTTCCAATACACATCAAGACTGAAGTGAAAGGGGTATTTGACAAGGAAGAACAAAAAACAGTGTGCAGCGCAAAACAGCCACCCTCAGTCTACTTGATGATGAATACCCGCAGAACCTTTGGGTCCGTGTTTACACAGATGGGTCAGCAGAAAGCGCAGTCAGAAACGGAGGTGCGGGAGTGTACATTGAGTATCCTAATAATACCAGGGATACAGCCAAATTACCAACGGGAAAGCACTGTCACAACTATGATGCAGAAGTTCAAGCCATCAAGATAGCGGTAGAGAAACTACTAAATACAGGGTATTTTTCACAACCAGTGGTATTCCTGACAGATGCAAAAGCAGTACTTCAGTCACTCCAGTCTGGAAAGTTACCAAGCATACGGACACTATTATCCGAACTAGGCAACCGCTGTAAATTAGTAATGCAGTGGATACCTTCCCACTGTGGAGTTCCCGGAAACGAAAAAGCTGATAAACTAGCTAAGGAAGGTGCAACTGAAGAACAACCTAACATACCAGTCTCTTATCAACAGAAGAAGAGAATGATCAAATCAATCAGAATGCCACCGAAACTGGCACAAGATGATTACCATATTATGGACAGACCAGAGCAAGTCATTATCCTTCGCCTTAGAACAGGGCACAATCGACTTCGCTCCCACATGTACAACAAATTTAAGATTGGCCAATCAGCCATGTGTACTTGTGGACTGGCACCTGAAACAACTGATCACATCCTTCAAGACTGTCCCAGATTCAACGCTTTCAGGCAAAACCTTTGGCCAAAAGAGACACTTGTGGAAGTCAAACTTTACGGGCCGCTTAGTGAATTACAAAAGACAGTGAAATTCATACTAGAGACAGCTTTGCAGATATAGACAATTTATTTCATGCGAACGAAAGAAGAAGAAGAAGTTTACAGACAGACTTGCCAAAAAAAAAAAAAAATGGAAAAAGGAGAAACAACAAGCCCATTCATTGTCATTACCAGAAATTAAAACACTTATCACAGGAAAATACAAGGGATTGTGGAGAGAACAAACTAACAGTTAACACCCACAAGACCCCCATCAGCAGACTCAACAGAAAGCAACATACAACAATTTTCCGTCTATGAACAGGACACTGTAGGTTTAACTACTACATGCATAAAATAAAGATTGTACAGTCCCCACTGTGTGCCTGTCAGACAAGATCACAAACACCTGAGCACATTCTGCAGACCTGCCCACTCTACCTGCAACTTCGAAAAGACACCTGGCCTCAAGAGCAAAGTGTGCAGAGCAGGCTATGGGGAACCATGCAGGACCTGCAGCTGACATGCGACTTCATAGAGGCAACCTACCTGATGGTACGAAACCGAACGCAAGGAAGAAGAAGAAGAAGAGTATGTAGATTGTAAAAATTGTGCAGAAATCGTTTGCACGAATGGAAAAATTAAACCACGCGGTAAGTTCTTGGTTTAGTGAGCAACCATAATCTTTGTGTTTTTGTTTTGCGGACGTCAGTTACAACCTACCTAAGTTATGGAATGGTTGCTTAAATGCATAAGGCAACTTTTCTGACCAATCCAAAGAGCTTGTTTAATTATGCTCCACCTGTTAATGTTTCTTTCATGCTTTTGTTAAAAAAAGTCACTGGAACAGGTTTCAGACGAACGCTCCTTAATAGTAACCACTTTTCCTAAATTGTTCGTTAAAAATGTTTATTTCCAAACTCAAGGCTGACTATAAGAAAAGGGAGGCTATGTATCAAGACCGGGAACAGGAACTTAAGATCAGTAAAGCTATTGAGCATGAGAGGTTTATGGCAGCACATGGACACAACATGGCTTGGGAACTCAAGTACAACATTACACAGTGGCTGTTGGAGCTGAGGGACCTTCAAGGTAGCTTCCCTGACTACCCAGACGAGGACGAAGGCGGATGTGAAAAGCTTTTCGCCATGAAGACCACGGAGCAAGTCGAAGACGAAATCAACGAGTTTCTGTACCCAACATCAGCTCCACAACAGAAAGCGGAGAAGAGAGATAATGCCAAGAAGGCTGTCGCCGTAGTTGCCGCTGGGTGGAAACCTGCACCAACGGCGACAGTCCCGAAGCTTATAGATGCTTTGGAAGAGTACAACAGCTACTGGTATCTGAAGGATGAAATGGACAACATTGACCAGAAGTTTGATCGGCAGTTGATGCTGGAGCAGGTTCGAGATGAAGCTGGCAAGCAGATCCGTCTGCAAGTGGATGACCTCATGCGGTATGAGCTGGACAAACTTCGATGTGGTATTGAGTTCATAGAAATGGACGACAGGCGTAGAAACACCAAGAACGCCAAGGCTGACGAGAAGGACAAAGAAAATGTAACAAAGGACCCTCTAGCTTCAAAAACCGTTGAGGAACTCTACGGTGAGCTCGTTTTGCAAGGGATTGTGACCCCGGTGAAAAATGTGAGGCTTGATGACATCTTAGGCGAACATAATTTTAAGGACAGAGTTCAGGAAGACAGCATGCCCACAATCGCTGACATCAAAAATAGCTTGACACATATGGTCGTGTTTCCGCTGAGTTCGTCATTCCTGCACACGGTTCTACCGTTAACCAAGTAAGTAATGCTCTTTGCACTTTCGATAATATTCTTCTTATTTCTCTGCCCTTTACCCCCTCCCTACCCCCCCCCCACCCTCCCCCAGCGAAGCATAAGTCCTCAACCAGCTTACGCAGTGTCGTCGTTGCCTTTGCAGTCGACGCAGCTCATACTCTGTCTGTCCTTCTCACCTCTTTAAGTTCAATGTAAAGTTTCTGTCTACTTTTAGAAGAAAACATTGCTTTATTTCTATGACCATGTAGGTTATAGTGTAGATCATTAGTTTTAAAGCGTCGAATTTCTTTGATCTTATTTTGACAAATAATTAGTACCTGGGTCTAACCAAAGGGTCTGGCCGGCTCACTACTCAGACCGAAAGCTAGACAGACATACAACCAGATTGTGACCGGTACCATCAGTATTGGGACTCTGCGCTGGCTGCCGAGGATAAGAACGGAGCATGCATGGGAATGCCCCGAGTGCCGTGATGTCAATTCTTGACTCAACTAAACTCAGCTAATCAATTATAAGTGTATCCCTTAAAACGAAACCAATATATAGTAACTGACATGCCTGTGGAGATTGCACTTGATCTTTGTTTGACAAAAAATTAATGTAGCCCTTAAAAGGAAACCAATATATAGTAATTGACATGCGTGTGTAGAAAGTACTTGATCTTTGTTTGATAAAAAATTAATGTAGCCCTTAAAAGGAAACCGTGGATTTTTTGTCGTGGTATGGGACGTCGCAGGTCGACCCAGCCTAAAATGGGTACCAGGATGGGCTGTCCTGGGAAAGTAAAGACAGCCGGCGTAATGCTGACCACATTACCCACAGAGTGCTGATGGTCTGTAAAAATATGGGACGCTCTGCCCATATGCCCGATGCGCCGAAAGGCGTGAAAAGGGAACTTTACTTACTTTACTTAAAAGGAAACCAAAAAATAGTAATTGACATGCGTGTGTAGAAAGTACTAGATCTTTGTTTGATAAATTATAAGTGTAGCCCTTAAAATATTATACATACATATATATATATATATATATATATATATATATATATATATATATATATATATATATATATATATATATATGTGTGTGTGTGTGTGTGTGTGTGTGTGTGTGTGTGTGAGTGCATACGCGCGTGAGTACGTGTGTGTGTGTGTGTGCGTGCACGCGCGCGCGTGTATATATATATATATATAATATATATATATATATATATAGTAATTGACACGCGAGTCGAGATTGGAAATCAGCTCTCAATGTGTAGCGATGCGTGGTGATCATTTTGATAGTATGTCCCTCATACACTGAAAAATCCACAACTCAGGAGAGGCTAATGCTAAAAATGACCACCTGAGAGGTAAACGCCAATGAAACGCTTGCAATTCGATGTTTTGTTAACTTCCCGTAACTCAGTAAACTGTAAGAGTGCTGACTGTTTGCACTGAATGGGTGTCTGTTTTTTCACATACCGCAAAAAGAAAAAGAAAAAAAAAAGGCAAAACGACAACTGGGTGTATGGGTTCTAATTACGTTTGCCGGCCCAGCAATACACTGGTTGACCTTTCATTCATGCTTGGTCACCTGTCACATGGGATGGTCTAGGGGCTGTCACATTGTATTGTCTCCGGAGCTATCACCGGCGACGTTGCGTGTTCTATATTACACATCACCGCTTTTAACTACCACACAACATTAAGAACTGGCCCTGAACTCAACCCCCCTCACCTACTCTACAGCCTGAGCCTACGTCCCACGACGCAATGTCGTAGGCTGATGCTCACAACCGCGAGTAAAAACGCACTGTCGCCGGCCGCTCCTCACAGCAATGAGTAACACACAACGCAGAAAGCTATGCGAAGACAATACAACGTGACACCCCTGTAACATAACCAGCCCGTGTGACAAGAGAGTAAGCATG